GGCGCGGCTTTCGCAACATACGCAGCAAAATGGTATGCATTTTTGCGTGCCGGTGTTGCTCTGCGTACAGTGCATTTTTATGTTACGCGCAAAAAGTCATTTTTTTAGTTGTTGATGGATTTTCTCCAAATATTCATCTCTTTAAAGCGTTTTTCTCCACTTTCTACCTCAATTAGACCTTTTTACAGATCCCAGATAAAGTAATACGCGAAAAGAAGTCGATGCGATGAAAAGAAACGCGTAAGTAAATGGAAGTAATGTTTTATTCAGAAAATATACGATTTCTCGAAAAACGTCTCTAGATCTTCTAATCTTTTGATTTAAAAATGTTCACTAACATGACTGTGAATGTCTTCGAATAAAAAAAGTAGAGTGACAGCTCGCTTTCGCGTAAAAATTGGTTTTTTGCCGGAAAACAGTGACATTTCGTTGAAAAAAATATTTTTTTCTCAAAAACCGTCTCTAGATGTTCTACTTTTTTTGTTTAAATAGTTCACTTACATGACTGTGAATGTTTTCGAACCAAAAAAAATTAAAGTGACAGTTCATAGAAGCAAAAAAAAATTTTTTTAAACGAATTTTCACTGTCTTCCGGCAAACTATCGGTTTTTCCGCGAAAGCGAGCTTTCACTCTACTTCTTTTTAGTTCCAAAACATTCTCAGAAATGTAAGTAAAGTTTTTTAACCAAAAGATTAGAAAATCTAGACACGTTTTTCGAGAAATCGTGCATTTTCTGAATAAAACCTTACTTTCACTTACTTACGCGTTTCTTTTCATCGCATCGACTTCTCTTCGCGTATTACTTCACCTGGAATCTGTAAAAAGGTCTAATTGCGTTAGAAAGTGGAGAAAAACGCTTTAAAGAGATGAATATTTGGAGAAAATTCATCAAAAACTAAAAAAAAAGAACTTTGCGCGTAACATAAAATGCACTGTACGCAGAGCAACACCGGCGTGTCAAAATGCACAGACTGAGGATCAAACGTTTGGTGAACGTCGCAAAAGCCGCGCCGTGCGACTCGAGCAGAAATGGCAGATCGTACTTTCCGGCGTATTCGAGTTTGTCAATCGGATTCATTGTGTGGCTCAGCACCAAAAACTCCTCGCATTTATCCATGAGTCGGGGCACTGAGAACTGGTGAGCCAATTCGAGCAGTGAGTCGAAGTTTGCGACTGAAAAGGGTACGTGCCATAGTTGAGCGGAAGAATTTTTTTAAATCTTTTTTAGAAAATTTTTTCATGGAATGTGATCAACTGACGAAATGTATAGCAAAGCACGGAACCCCAGCCCGTTCCAATAAAAAATTCCCTTGGCGCAATTCAGGTGCGCTAAACAAGGCGCGAGAACGCGTAATTTCGGAGCGTCGTTGTAGAGTTTCTCCATTTCAATTTTCCCTTTTTTTGCATTATTCCCATCTTTTCAGAACCAATCAGTGTCAAAACTTATGATAATGATTAGAAATGAATAAAAAATAAACTTTTAACTGCTTCGTCGTCAATTTCGAAACGTTTTATGTGAAAATTACAGATTTTTTTCCTGTTGGAATCGAAAATTTGCCTCAATTATCTCAATTCTGTATATTTTTCGACGGTTGAGCGCTTAAAAGATGCGCAATAAACTCCTTGTTGACTGGACGGTTCGAATGCCAGTGTCCGAACTCGATTTTCGGCAAATAATCGTTAAAACTCCGTTTTTTCAGTATTTTTCGGCAAAATCCCTCAATTTGGTCAATTCTGAACGAATCTGCTCCGTTTCGCGCTTAAATCGATGCGTTTAACTCACACAATCGCCGCACGGTTCGCAAAGAACAAAATTGGAGTGTTGATTTAGAGAAAAACTCAAGAATTCTGGTTTTCAATTGAAAAAAGAAACTCCGAGCCGACGGTGGATGCAAGCGCGCCCCATTGACAACTCGCTTGCGCATTGGAATGCTGGAGTTCCGTGGCAAAGTGAACTGTGCTCATTGAAAAATAATTGTAAATTTAGCTTTTCATACAAAAAAGTTATTCGAGTTGTTCCGTGAAAAAAGAGCAAACGAATAACAACTCGAATAACTTTTTTGTATGAAAAGTTAAATTTACAATTATTTTTCTATGAGCACAGTTCACTTTGCTATACATTTCGTCAGTTGATCAAATTCCAAGAAAAAATTTTCAAAAAAAGATAAAAATTCTTCCGTTGAGTTGTTCCGCTCAACTCTGGTACGTGCAATGGTTGTTTGACGGAGGGATGGCAAGGATTACCTGTGACTGGACGGCTTGGATGGTAGATGTGCGTGAGAAGCTTCTCGAATTGAAACGGTGCCACTTTGAACACTCTGATTACATCTTCATTTTCAGAGAACGGACCGTAGAACCTCTTCATAAAGTAGTGCGAACTGTTCGCCAGGATCTGGCAGATGAATAGACGTTTCGAGTGGAACGCCCAAATCGGACCTACCTGTTTACTGACATGATATTCAAATCTTTCCACTTGGATCATAACATCACAAAAGACTCTGTTTTCCTCGAAATCAGTACTGAAGCGGTATCCGGTCGGCGCCACCTCTTCTGTTCGAGATTCCTGGAAATACAATAGATTATTGATGGGCCGAGCTTTGTAAAGGCGTCCATCATCAAAATTTAAGTGTCCAGACGGGTTAGATGAGTTCTATATAGTTGCGGTCAGACGAACACGATTAAAATACCCAATCATAAATGCGGTAAAGTAAAATGACCTCCGGAACCAGTTTCCACTCCAATATCGCCACTTTCATCTCATTGCTCAACGTTTTGTAGTTGGCGCTGCTCAACACCGTTTTGAGCAGCGCTTCATCTTTCAGTTTGCGTAGGAATACTTTCTGGAACCAGCTGATCGATTTTCTGAATAACTCTTATATAGATAACTAACCCTCAGTTCGGGCAATCGGTACTTGTCGACCAAGTGTAACACTTTGATCGTGTCCTTCAATTCCATCTTCTTCAAAACCAGATCGAACCGTTCGAAGCACTCGAATGCTTCGTAACTTTGAATGAGTTCCAGAACGTTTTCAATGTTTTTTTCTAAATTGAATGGATTACTCAACTGAATCGAATATGTATTGTGCAAGCCTACCTAAAATGTGTGTGTCACAATTGTGAACCAACTCCAGAAATGTGATAAAGTCTTCAAGTTTGACCGATATTTCGAATTCGGACGTTTCTGGATGCCCCTCGAACAATCTATTGAAAAAGGGCGATTGTTGAGCAAGACACTGAACCTCAAATTATGTTCCTTCAATTTCAGCTAGTCATCTCACGTTCTTAGCAACATGAAACCTTTCAAAACCCATTAATAGAACGAAATCTGTCATTTTTCGCATCCGGTTGCTTCATCAACTCCAATCACTCTCCGCATTCCAACACGCATTTCGACGGTTATCACTCCGTTTCTGACGTAACCATTCTGTGGCAGCAGAAGCTCGTCCCAATCCATCCGAACGGATTCCCCGATCCAGTGATTCTTGTAAAACCAGCTCGGTGCAGTGTACAGCGTATAATGAGATCCGGTCGTAGAGACGATTCTGGCTTCGTGATCCGCTTCACACGCCCACCAATCACTCTCGTCGTTTGGGTTAACGCACAAATCGGCAACCAATTGGAATGCATTATTGTCTTTGTGTTTCCGCAGTTCTAGTTTACTGAACAATTTACTGGGTTCACGGAACCCCAGCCCGTTCCAATAAAAAATTCCCTTGGCGCAATTCAGGTGCGCTAAACAAGGCGCGTAACGCGTAATTTCGGAGCGTCGTTGTAGAGTTCTCCATTTCAATTTTCCCGTTTTTTTTGCATTATCCCCATCTTTTCAGAACCAATCAGTGTCAAAACTAATGATAATGATTAGAAATGAATAAAAAATAAAATTTTAACTGCTTCGTCATCAATTTCGAAACGTTTTATGTGAAAATTACAGAATTTTTTCCCTTTGGAATCGAAAATTTGCCTCAATTATCTCAATTCTGTATATTTTTCGACGGTTGAGCGCTTAAAAGATGCGCAATAAACTCCTTGTTGACGGGACGGTTCGAATGCCAGTGTCGATTCGGCAAATAATCGTTAAAACTCCGTTTTTTCAGTATTTTTCGGCAAAATCCCTCAATTTGGTCAATTCTGAACGAATCTGCTCCGTTTCGCGCTTAAATCGATGCTTTTAACTCACACAATCGCCGCACGGTTCGCAAAGAACAAAATTTGAGTGTTGATTAAGAGAAAAACGAAAGAATTCTGGGTTTCAATTGAAAAAAGAAACTCCGAGCCGACGGCGGATGCAAGCGCGCCCCATTGACAACTCGCTTGCGCATTGGAATGCTGGGGTTCCGTGGGGTTTCGTATTAAAAGTGATGAAATATAGTACCATGGCAGTCCACCGACGGAAACCGAATCACTAAAAAGATGAGTGTTTTCGGGGATATCCTCTAGCGTTGCGGAGAGTTTTATTGTTTCCATAGCATTGGCTTCGTTCTGAAATTATCATTGCGTGTCCAGATAATGTCCATGATGCTTGGCAATATCCTCCAAATTAGGTCTCTCGGCTGTGAAGTCGATTGTTCGTCTCGGCAGTCCCGTTTCAGAACCAATTTGGAGTGCGCATTCGATCAAAAGCTTCCCGTCCTTAGTGTACTGGTCGATTTCACTCCATTTCAAAAATTTTAACCATCCTATAAATTCATCTCTGTACCAACTCGCGAATATTACACGTTTCGAAAATTTGAACCATTTTTTTCTGCCCGAATACACGTCTGTTCGACGTTTGTCGATCGCCGTCTTTCCAGAAGTTTGGAGATTCAAGATTCGGGTATGATAAGATGTGTAAATTCTCATTTCATCCTTAATGTCAGACGAACACGTCAGGTAAACACCCAAATATTTTTCATTGTCGGTCCATTTAGAACATTCAGCGCCCACTTGGACAGCCCTATAAATTGGAATACTTGTTTCACAAACAAGTTGCATTTTCTGTCACCATTTGCTTTTTCCGACTTGAACACTGCTGCCACGACGTTCACCGATCAACTCTTTTTATATCATCAACTTCGAATTGAATAGTCCGTTTGAATGGATAAGCCAGCGATTCGAAAGTGGCCATTTCTGCACCTGCAAACTATGATTTGAGCGGAAGAACTCAACGAAGAATTTTTATCTTTTTTAGAAAATTTTTTCATGGAATGTGATCAACTGACGAAATGTATAGCAAAGTGAATTGTGCTCATAGAAAAATAATTGTAAAATTAGCTTTTCATACAAAAAAGTTATTCGAGTTGTTCTGTGAAAAAGGGGGCGAACGGAAGACGGAACTCGAATAACTTTTTTGTATGAAAAGCTAAATTTACAATTATTTTTCTATGAGCACAGTTCACTTTGCTTTTACATTTCGTCAGTTGATCACATTTCATGAAAAAATTTTCTAAAAAAGATAAAAATTCTTCCGTTGAGTTCTTCCGCTCAACTCTGCTGAAAACTATGATTTGAGTGAGAAAAGAAATGGAGAAAGTGTGTGTCAAACGACTTGTGCTTATCAGCATCACTTAGGAATAGTTGTTGACAGAAATGATGACCGAGTGAGTGGAAATTGCTCACTATTAATTTTGAAAAAGCGCCAGCAATTCGGTCCGTGTACGTTTCGAACTGATTCTACTTTGTCAACAGCGTGCACAACTCGATAAAGAAAAGTTTATTAAAGATAAAATGCGCTGCTAAACTACATGAAAGGAGGGTGTGTACCATAGCATAAAACACAATCAGATGCATTACTTAACACTACCGTTTATAACATGTCTTCTTTCAAAACGAAACTAATCACTACTTTCAAAATGTGAAGCGTATAAATTCATTCAGGCAGTGGTGGTGGTCGTCGTATCAGTGACGGTCTTCTTCTTGTAGTACTTGGTGGTGACGTGGCGCGAGATGACTCCTGGCTCCAGCGGAGTCTCCACAACTCGCTTCTCCTCCTCCTTGAGAAGAGCAGTCTCGCGGCCCGGATCGGCCGAAGTCTGCGTTTCACGCTTGTACGACACGTCATGACCGTTCACGTCACGGTATCCGCCCTGCAATTCGCTGCCGTGTAATTGTCAACTAAAAAGTTGTAGAGCTTGAAATTTGCTACAACTTTTCAGTTGACAACTGCTTGATACAACTGATGGTTTTTGAGATATAGGCCTTCAAACCCACCTCAGTATTGTTATGAGTGTTGAAGACGGATCCGATCGGCAGCGACTCGTTCATCTCGGTCTTCTTGTTGAACACATCGTCGACGGACTGCGCGTTCGACAAATCCTTGTAGGTGACAGTGCTCGGAGCCACCGCGGCCGCCGGCACCGTCGTCGTTTCCGTCTTCTCCTCATAGTTGCGCTTGTAGTTACGCGATTCCGAGTATTGCGAGAGTTGCGACACCGGCCGGGGGGAGGTCTCTTCGCGACGGCTCTGCAAATGTCGATTTGGGGTTTGGTGGGAGTTTCGTCTCACCTCCTCCTTTCTGCTGCTCAAATAGTTCTCGTATTGGTAGGAAGCCGGTTGGGATTGGATTCTCTGCTGTGGTGCACCCTGTGAGGTGTAACTCTCCTGATGAAAGGACGGTTTAGCGGGTTGCGATGGGACAGCAGTGCTCTAGAAAAATCGATATATTTGCGTTAATGAAAGAGATATCAAAAAGTGATCAACTAGTTGAGAAATCAGTTGACAACTCACCGTCGAATAGTTGTAAGAAGTGGTCTTAGTGAACGGAAGAGTGGTCGTCTCAATGCGTGGCTGTTGTTGTTGTTGCTGAGTAGTCGTCGTCGTGGTTGTCGTCGTCTCCTGTTTGTGGTGACGGCTCGACGAGAACTCGGTCGATTTGATCGAATGACCGCCCGGCGAGTGGAGCGTTATCGGTCCCTGCAAGAGGTCTATTGCTGAAAATATGCACGAAAATGGGTGTACAGTCGAAGAATGCGTCTCGGTGTGATAGCTGCTCGAGTGATTTTGCGGTGGCGGCAGGGCGATCACTTGCGGTTGGTGTTGAGTCGTCTGCAAATCAAGTTTCTCAAACATGTTTCAGAATTCGTATTTCAGAACGTTCAAACGTTTGCTCGATCTTTGTTTAAATGTGGTGTCCAACGTGACAATACAACAATTACCAAAAAAAAAAATTCCCCGATTTTTAAGATTTTTTTTCAAAAAAATTAATGGAACCGAGAGAAGTACACGGCGAAAAGGAAGAGCTGGCCTAGATTTTTCTAGTCCCCGGATGGAATTCCCATTTCTTCCGATATTTTTTCCGTTTTCGTGCAATTTTCGTGCAATTTTCAATCGTTTTTTCACTGAACACACTTATTTACAATATAAAAAACAATTTTTGATTTTTTCAGTGCCGTGACGCCAAAAACATCGATAATCTGAAACTTTCAAAATTCAGAAATTCAGCCACTTTCTTTTTGTAAAACTGAAAATAGGAAGTTTGGGATTTTTCGCATTACTTTGAAAAATATAACTTTCTGTAACTCGCAAACTTTAATTAAGACTCAGGAAATGATTGAGCGATCTCTTTCTATTTATTTTTCAGCGCGCAAACCGAAGATTGAGCGAAAAACCCGGAAAAACATTAAAAAGTTTCAGATTATCGATTTTTTTGGCGTCACGGCACAGAAAAAAATTATAAATTTTTTTAAATATTGCAAATAAGTGTGTTCAGTGAAAAAACGATTGAAAATTGCACGAAAATTGCACGAAAACGGAAAAAAAATCGGAAGAAAGGGGAATTCCATGCGGGGACTAGAAAAATCTAGGCCAGCTCTTCCATTTCGCCGTGTACTTCTCTCTCGGTACCATTAACTTTTTTGAAAAAAATCCTAAAAATCGGGGAATTTTTTTTTTGGTAATTCGGGACTTTGGGAAAGTGAATGCCCCACTTTGAAGTTTATTTTAAAAATATGTTGTATGACACGTTGGACACCAGCTTTAAAGTACTCACACTCGAAGATCGCTCGGTATGGTAGCTGCTCGAGTAGTTCTGGTTGTTGGCGCCAATCGGCTGAGGTTGGTGTTGAGTCGTCGTTTGGCTCGAGTAGCTCTTGTTGTAGTTGGAGCTCTGCAAAGATCACTGAATTGTTGAAGATTGCTGTGTGTGTTGGTTGGTTGTTTGTGGTTGGTAGGCAACTTATTGAGGTGGTTATTATTATATTTGTGTTTTAGTACTGTTTAGTACTAGTCAATGGCGGGTAACCTCATAAACGTCCTGAGCAGACGGAAGTGGAATGGAATCCGTCGTCTTCACCACTTCTTCCTGTAAACCCTTCTCCTTTCATTCATTTTTTGCCTACAAATCCCTCCCGCCTCATAGTCAGCAACAGACGTGCGCTCTTCATGCACTTTCTGCTTCTAGAAATCCACAATATTTCGCGTCTACAGTACCTCTTGAGTGTTGAACACTTTGGAGATCTCGTTAAAGGTGCCGGCGGTCTGGACCGGAATGGCTTTAGAAAGTGGGGAGGCGAGGTCCCGATGGAACTTTTCGCTCGACTCGACAAACGATCTTTGAGTGTTCTGAACAAGAAATAGGGGGGGGAGGTTGGAAAGAACTGAGGAACACGGTCAACCGGTGAGCTCCAAGCAAAACGGTCCAGTTAGAACTTATAAAACTACAATAGTCTAGGTTACTGTATCAACAACTGTGTGTGAACCGGGATGATAACGAAATGATGACGCTTGATTAGAGTTCTAAAAGTGAGGTCTACACAATATACTCTTCGATTTAACCTCAAAGAACGAAGAATCAAAGGTCGGGAATGTCTGGAAAAAATGTGTGTTTGTTTTTCAATTATATTTCGAAAAGTTGTGATTATCAGATGTAAACTGGTGTAAACCCTAAATACTTTCAAAGCCAAAACTTAAAGTTTTTGCAGTCTTACCCCTTCATTCAACGCGTTATATCTCAGTTATCGGTAGAGATATCGAAAAGTTGTCAACTGATGTAATGTTCATACAACCTTTGTGCACACTTTCTCCATTGACACCTTTGTGATATCTCTAGCCGGGCGCGAAGAAACGGACATGATTTCCAACCTGATAGTTCTGCACCGGAATCGTCTTCGTCTGCTGTTGTTGAGCGCTCGACGACGAGTAGTTTTGATTTTGGCCGGTCGTGTACGAAGACGACGAGTTGACGATGGGCGGCTGATAGTGCGGCCCGTCGGCGTACTTGTCCTTGTGCGACAGCACGTACTCCACCTGGTTCGTGTTGTAGCCTGAAACAAGCCTTTTCCCTCGTTTTTCGAGCTCCCAATGATTGCGTGGGCGGCTCGAGAACAGCTGTCCTCTTGCTCATTGCGAGCGCAAGCAACTTACCAGAGTTCAACTGGCGCTGAGCATTCTGGTGAGTTTGAGATGGCGGCTGCAAACGTGATCAGTTGGAAGCAGTAAAATCAATTATTTGTCATCAGTAAAACTCACATAGGCGCTCGACGAATATTGTCGGTTCTCATGGTATGACTGTGGCTGTCCTCCTCCTCCTCCGCCGATTGGTTCATATCCGGTGGTGGAGTAGGAGTAATTCTGGAATATTGGAATGCTTTGGTATTACTGTTTCGTATAGAGTATATTAGAACTTTCGAATATATAATCTCTAGTAAAGCTATCTCTCTTCTTGCAAATCGATATATCTCAGTTGCCAGGAAAGATATCAAAAAGTTGTCAATTGAGGAATTGTTCATTAGGAAATTGTGCACATTTTTGCAGTTGATCACTTTTCAACATCTGCACTCACATCGCAGATAAATTGCGTTTAATGAGCTCACCTGACTACTAGTCGTGTTCATATTATCCGCCTGCTGCTGCCACTGCTGATGCTTGTGTTGTGCCTCTGCATGCCAGGCAGGAGGCACGCCCGGCGCCACCTAAAACTTTCTCTCCCGTTTTTCTCCGGCCCGTCTCCCAGTGTTCCTATACTATTTCTCGGCAAGTTCCTCTTTCTCTAGAAGTTTCGCTGCTCATCACATCACAAAACATGATGCTTTCCTCACTTATCATCTCTTTTTTTCTTCTCCCCCCACAAGATTCAAGAGAAAAGATCATATATCCGCTCACTTTTTCCGAGTACGGACGGCTCAGACGCTGTTCGTTTTCGAATGCGCGACGCTCCCACGCCAGACGACGTTGATCGACGTTGCGACGCCAATTCGGCTCCGTTATGTACGTCTGCAAGTGTGCATATTCAGAAAACGAATTTTATTGAAAGAACTTGAGAAATTGCAACGTTTGGGCGGTGAGTGAAACTGAAAAGCACAAGAATGACGACGCTAATTGGCCGGCCCTTGACCTGGACTTTTGAACCACTTGCAATATTCCGATCGGACCCAAACTTTGCAGCCTTCTTTGACTTGGATTGAGGGCCATTGGGACCAAGTTTCAGGCCGATCGGATCGTCGGGTCCCGAGATATGTGGATCATTGGCCGATTTTTTCCAAAAAGCTCGGGCTTCCGGTCAATTTTGGCCAATGATCTACATATCTCGGAACCCGACGATCCGATCGAGCTGAAACTTGGTCCCAGTATGCTTCAATCCATGTCCAAGAAGCCTGAAAAGTTTTGGTCCGATCGGAATATTGAATGTGGTTCAAAAGTCCAGGTCAAGGGCCGGCCAATTGCCCAGCCCTGGCTTAATTTATATTTTCCGGAAAAATGTCAGAATACCTACTAACTCGACTAACGATTATTGGCATTAGGTGAAGTTAGTGAAACAGTTAGCTGCTCAACTGCACACACACACAGGGGGGACCTCATATCTCTGGAGACGTGGATCAACTCTTCCTCTCCACGCCTCATGCGTCTGCTCCGAACGTGCGGCCCACCACGGCGACTGCTCCCGCTTCCTGGCGCGCAGTGCGTCGTCGTTGAGCAACGTGCGAATGTTCACCTTCACCCGTGGCTACGTTTTCGATATTGTCCGTTTCTCACCACCTACCTCCTTATCCACCTCCAACTGTTGGCTGCTATTATTCCACACGTTGTGGTGGTGTTCGGGCGGTGCGGACGAGCGGGGTAGCGATGCGGAGCGGGCGAGCGATTTGTTCGCCGAAAGCGAGTAGACGAGCGGTTTCGGCGTGTCGGCGTACTTTTGGACGGTGTGATGGTCGTGCAGGAAGCCCTGTGGGGGACCGAACGAGGTGCCGAACTTGGATTGATCGATGTGACGCACTTCGTGACGGATCTTCTGGTTGGACAGTGTGTCGCCGATGAGAAGGTTCGCATCCACCTGCAATTTCAACGAGAATAATACCAAAAAGCACGAATGAATAAAAGCGTACCACTTCCAGATTGGGCGCGACTGCCACGTTGCACGGGTCGTGCGGATCCGCCGTGTACTTTGGCCGGAGTCGTGGCGGATCGGGACCGTGTCCCCGATAGTTTGAATTGCCGGACACGTGTCCCCGATAGAAATCGGTGCCTCCGAGCTCATAGCCCGGCGGGAGCTTCGGTTGCTGTGGCTTGCGCGCCGGTTCCTCGTAGTACTGATAGTCGGTGCCATGATCCACGTGGATACCGCCGGTGAAATCGAGTCCGCCGAGTTCATAGCCGCGATTGACGAGTTCGCGTCCGGCCGACTGGCTCCGCGTGTATCTCGGCGGCGCCGCATCCCAGTAGGACCGTCCGAAATCGTTGACGTTGTGCGTGAACACTTTGCTCTTCTCCGCGTGCTCCCGCGCACTCTCATAATGAACCGGATAGTTGGTGGAGGGTGCCGGCGAGGACCCGGACCGATACGCTTGGGTCGGATCGGCGGGCGTCTTGCTCCGAGCCCTCTCGCTCTTTTTCCCGCGCAGTCCGAGCCCACGCCGGTTCCGATTGATGGGGAACTCGCGGCGCCTCGGCTTGGGCTACCTTCTCGAAAAAAAGTTCTCGCCAAAAATTCTCTCGTTCGCCTTCCTTCAAGTACTTGAGCGTCGCGCTCTTCGATGGGTCAAAGTGCTTGTCCTGGGCGGGCAAATCTTGAGGGGTCTCGCCGATTTGTTGCTGGAATTGCTCGACCGCCGCCTCCCTGAAAGGCTATTGTGTCAAAAATTTGCGTTATTCGAGACACTTTATCTCGGCTATACACGGCGCGGCTTTTGCGACGTTCACCAAACGTTTGATCCTCAGTCTGTGCATTTTTAGCACGCCGGTGTTGCTCTGCGTACAGTGCATTTTTATGTTACGCGCAAAGTTCTTTTTTTAGTTGTTGATGAATTTTTCTCCGAATATTCATCTATTTTTAAACGTTTTTTTCTCTGCTTTCTACCTCAATTAGACCTTTTTACAGATTCCAGGTGAAGTAATACGCAAAGAGAAGTCGATACGATGAAAAGAAACGCGTAAGTAAGTGAAAGTAAGGTTTTATTCAGAAAATGCACGATTTCTCGAAAAACGTGACTAGATTTTCTAATTTTTTGGTTAAAAAACTTTACTTACATTTCAAAGAATGTTTTCGAACTAAAAAGAAGTAGAGTGACGGCTCGCTTTCGCGGAAAAACCGATAGTTTGCCGGAAGACAGTGAAGTTTCGTTGAAAAATTTTTTTTTTGCTTTTACGAACTGTCACTCTACTTTTTTTTGGTTCGAAAACATTCACAGTCATGTAAGTGAACTATTTAAACAAAAAAATTAGAAAATCTAGAGACGGTTTTTGAGAAAAAATTTTTTTTCAGCAAAAAACCAATTTTTACGCGAAAGCGAGCTGTCACTCTACTTTTTTTTATTCGAAGACATTCACAGTCATGTGAGTGAACTTTTTAAATCAAAAGATTAGAAGATCTAGAGACGTTTTTCGAGAAATCGTATATTTTCTGAATAAAACATTACTTCCATTTACTTACGCGTTTCTTTTCATCGCATCGACTTCTCTTCGCGTATTACTTCATCTGGAATCTGCAAAAAGGTCTAATTGAGGTAGAAAGCAGAGAAAAACGCTTTAAAGAGATGAATATTTGGAGAAAATTCATCAACAACTAAAAAAATGAACTTTGCGCGTAACATAAAATGCACTGTACGCAGAGCCACACTGACGCGCAAAAATGCATACCATTTCGCTGCGTATGTTGCGAAAGCCGCGCGGCTGTCGGTGGAGATATCGAAAAGTTGTCAACTGATAAAATGCTCCATGCGACACTTTCTACATTTTATCCATTGACAACTTTTCAACAACTCTACACGCAACTGAGATATTTCTGTTTGAGTAACCGAAATTTTTTTGTCCCCCCAACTCACTTGGAATACAATCCCATCGGCGAGTTGTACTGAAGATGAACAGTTTGCGGCATTTCCGGCTCCTCTTCGTCTTCGGAAAATGAGGACCAGAACGAGAGCGGGATTACCTGGAAGATGGTGTTGATGTTTGACCAAAAGTACTGTATCTCATCGGCCAGCGAAGATATCAAAAAGTTGTCAACTAATAAAATGTTTATTGAAACATTTTGTACATTTTATCAGTTGACAACTATTTGCCATCTGTACCAGCCGCTGAGATATATCGTCTTGAAGAGCTAATATGCCGGAATCAAGAAAAAGTGGGGGTAAATGATGGAACATGCCACGCTAGTAAGCGAAAAGATCCGAAAAAAGGCGAGCGAGAAGAATTGAGTGGGAAGACGAGTGTTAACGTATCAACTCATCGCAAAAAGCGATGAGAATGAGCGACTGGATCCGTCCGGCGACGAGAAATAGCGCCGAAAGTGCGGAGACGCCGAGAAATGATTCCATGCCGGCGTTACACTGAGAGCCTCCTCTGAGGAAGACAACAAGAGACGGTGGAGAGGAAAAAGTGAAGGAAAAAAAGTGATGGATCTCTGGCTTCTTCTTTTTTTCTTTCCGAACTACACTTAATTGATCGTATTTCAGTTAGTTACCCTCGGACACTTGATGCGTTGATGGAGTTTCGGTCCTCCGGGCGTCGGCCGGGAGTAGGAGAACGGTTGGCCAGGATTCTGGATATCATCAATCGTCGATTGGGGCATCGAGAAGAGCGGAGCGATCGCCGCCGGCACCGACACACCTCCGATCTCTGTCATTTGGATTCTGGAGTGCTGGAAGTGTATAAGATGGTTGGAAAGAAGGACAATATCAAAAGACGGTTCAATCGCTGAAAAATCAATAACTTGCGAAAAAAGGTGAACGTTCAAAATTTAGCTATAAATGGTAGTTTTGAAACTGCAAAATCATATTACGGTACAGAGCACAGAGTTGAGCGGAATCGATTTTTTTCTTGAAAAGGCGGAAGGCGGAAGGCGGAATTCCGCTCAACTATTGTAGGTTACAGTTTCGTCTACCACTTTTTTTAGTTTTGAAAAGTTTACGAATGTCATCAAAGCGTCTATAAAGCAGAGATGTTGGGAATAAAAAAATTTTTACTCTACGGAACACGGAACACGGAAAACGGAAAAATTTTACGGAACACGGAAAACGGAAATTTTTTTTTTTTACGGAATACGGAACACGGAACACGGAAAACGGAAAATTTTTTTTTACGGAACACGGAACACGGAAAACGGAAAAAACTTATTTCTACGGAACACGGAAATTTTTTTTTACGGAACACGGAACACGGAAAACGGAAAAAACTTATTTCTAGGGAACACGGAAATTTTTTTTTACGGAACACGGAACACGGAAAAAATATTGCAAAAAAACGCGGAACACGGAACACGAAATTCCCAACATCTCTGCTATAAAGCTCAGAATATTTACGCTGTACTCCGCTGAGTGCTATTCTCCAATTTTAGTTAGAAAAGAAGAGTTTGCAAACTGTTTCCGTTTCTGAAAGTCTACAATGACTTTCACTTTTCTCGGGATTTCACTACTCCTCACAAAAAAACGTGTATTTTTTTACAAGTTGTCGACGCATTTCATGAGGCTTAGGCTTAAATTCAGCAAGCCGGGCACCAAAAAGTTACTGTAACAGTGATCTAGTGTAAATTAGTTTTTGTAAAATTGAAAATGTTACAAAGCATCAATGAAGTTTTTTTGCTCGATGTTGAGAAAAATAAGTGCCAACTTTGAGGGACCATCACCGGGTCCGAAGATGTCGTATCGGTCTGAATTTTTTTGGGCGTAATCTAAGGACCTATTAGTGTATTTTTGTAGTTGATCACTTTTTTCTAGGACCACTTCTAGGTCTACTGTAGCTCATGGAAGTTACAGTACCCTCGAGATTGTAGGTTTAGAAAAAAAGTGGTACAGGAAGCTATTATAGCGCCTCAAAGTTGACTAAAAAAATATCCGCGAACTCTTGCTCTTCTCCACCCGCATCACTTTTTCCTCTTTTTCTATTTACAACAACCCGCAAAATGTTATGTATCCTTTGCTTTTTTTCCAAAAAAATCTCCTTTGACCGCTCCCTCTTTCTCTCGCTCCTCCCGGATCCGTGTGCTCTTGGTCCGTAAAGGTTGAGGCTCGCAAAATTGTGAGCTTTTTGTGTGATATTTGTGTGGGAAAACGAAAATGAGAGAGAGATTTCTCGAGTTCTTTCTCGAGCGCTTATCACGTCAAAAAAATAGATAAAAGGATCGGAGGGACCAGGAACCGCTCAGAAATGTGTGTATAACTTTAGAATTAATCATTTTTAGAGTAAAATAATCAATTACAAAGTTGTAGAGCATAAAATTTGCTACAACTTTGCTGTTAACAACTTTTTGAAACAATTATTGGTTCTCAAGATATGGGCGTCCGAAGTTGAAGGACAAAAAATGATGTTCTCTTCAAACGTGTAACTTTTGATGCTCTTCTGCTTGTACAAATGTGACTTTTCATTTAATTTAATTTCATTTCATTTTACAAACAATATATATATATATACTTATCAATAATAATGGTACAAAACTATCGCTTCAATGGGAAAGATACTCGATTCCAGACGTTTCTGCTCGACGGTGACTTCAATGGCGATGTGCTACGGGACCGGGGCTTGCTGAAAGAGAAAACAGTTCCAGAGAAATTCCAAAGAGGACCGGGAACTCACTATTGCCTCCAGTTGGGCCCATAGATCTTTGTCATCACACTGTTCTCATCGACACGGATCTTCGGGACCTTCGGGACCTTGTTTTTCACCTCCGTTTCCTCACAATCTGGTCCGTTTCGGTTGAGCCAGTTGTTGGCGAGCACTTCGTAGCTCACCGAGCCATCCGGATTGAAGTACGAGTCGCGTTTGCTCTTTCTCCTTTTTCTCACTCGCGACACGTTTAAACCGCTCATAATGACGTAGAACTGCTGAAATTGAACGGAGATTTGAGTGTAAAATGGAGGCAAACAAAAAAAATCGATAAAATGGTTGGAAGAGGTCTGGAAGAATGAGGGTAGGGGGACTGTGAATGGGCAGAAAGTGGAGAGAGAGAGAGGAAGAGACGCAGAGAAAAAGAGGGGTAGCACGGCGAAAACGATTGAATCAAAAAAAGTGAGATATTGTCCAACTATTGCTATTTTTCATGTTCACAAATATGTGTATGTAAAGTTTCATCAACAACATGAAACATTAAAGGTGGTGTCAACGTGACATAATACAATATTTTTTTAAAATAAACTTTGAAGTGGGGCATTCACTTTCCCAAAATCCCGAATTACCAAAAATTCCCCGATTTTTTTAAGATTTTTTTCAAAAAAAGTTAATGGTACCGAGAGAGAAGTACACGGCGAAATGGAAGAGCTGGCCTAGATTTTTTTCTAGTCCCCGGATGGAATTCCCTTTTTCTTCCGAATTTTTTTCCGTTTTCGTGCAATTTTTCTTAAATTTTTCAATCGTTTTTTTCACTGAACACACTTATTTGCAATATTAAAAAAAATTTATGATTTTTTTCTGTGCCGTGACGCCAAAAAAATCGATAATCTGAAACTTTTTTTGTTTTTTTCCGGGTTTTTCGCTCATTCTTCGGTTTGCGCGCTGAAAAAAATAAATAGAAAAAAAGATCGCTCAATCATTTCCTGAGTCTTAATTAAAGTTTGCGAGTTACAGAAAGTTATATTTTTTTCAAAGTAATGCGAAAAAAATCCCAAACTTTCTATTTTTCAGATTTACAAAAAAAGTGGCTGAATTTCTGAATTTTTGCTGAATTTTTGAAAGTTTCAGATTATCGATTTTTTTGGCGTCACGGAACAGATAAAATTATAAATTTTTTTAAAAATATTGCAAATAAGTGTGCTCAGTGAAAAAACAATTGAAAATTTAAGAAAATTGCACGAAAACGGAAAAAAAATCGGAAGAAAGGGGAATTCCTTCCGGGGACTAGAAAAATCTAGGCCAGCTCTTCCGTTTCGCCGTGTACTTCTCTCTCGGTACCATTAACTTTTTTTGAAAAAAATCTTAAAAATCGGGAAATTTTTTTTCGTAATTCGGGACTTCGGGAAAGTGAATGTCCCACTTCGAAGTTTATTTTAAAAATATGTTGTATTATGTCACGTTGGACACCACCTTTAAACTCTTTCGCATTTTCCAATTGACCCACAGTACTCTTGTCAGTCTGTTTATAGGAAAAAAAAGATGTTCTAGCTATTGTTTGTAACAGAAAAATTATCGATATATATACATATATATATATATAAAAAAACGTTTATTTTTGTATACAATCGCATTGTTTTTTTGTTGTTGTGCAAAAAAAGTTCGATGTCATGCAAATCTGGTGAGGGAAAAATGATACAATATCAAGAGAAACGTCTAGGGTAAGTAGATTTTTAGGGGGTGGAACTGAAAATGAACTCAAAATCTAGAAAAAAACTGAACTGAATCGAATAACTCGTTGAAAATGTGTAAATCGAAATGAGATGGAGGGGGTATGGGGGAAATGGATGATATCGGAAAACGGGAAACGGGGAGAGGATATGGGGTACCAGTTTAAGGGAAAAGAGACAGTGTCTACGAGTAGATGGTCACCACTTCGGCACCGGTTCCGCGGACCAGCAGCACACGGTCCAGGCCCTCGGTTAGCGCGTCGATAAAGTCCATGTCTGGAAGAGAAGTAAAAGTTGCGAAAAACTGTGGGCTCTAGAGTTCCATGTGGATCCTACTGGCTCACAGTCCTCATAACTTGGGCCATGGCACACTCACAATACGAGTCGGAATCGGCGTCCGGCGGTCCCGGAAGGTTCACGAACACCAGTTGAGCGTCGCTTGATTTCTGGCGCATCAGCTCGTTCAACTTGACCGCCGTGTGCATTTTGTGCACATTGTACCGTCTTTTTCGTTGTCTCTCCTCGCGATCCCGCTCCAGAGTTCCGTTTCCGGCTTTTGGCTGAAAGAAAAGATAACAGCTGAAAAGTTTCAGGATTCAGGGGTAGTAGGCTTAGAAAAGGTGGTACGAAAAAGTTGTCAACTGAAAAAATCAACTACTAGGTTCCTAGATTACGCTCAAAAAGTTTTGAAACAAAGGGTCCCTTTCAAACGCTGATACGGTCCCTCAAAGTTCTGAAACACTAATCCGACCTCCTTCGCATCCTCATCATCCGAAAATCTGACTCCCTTGTGCTCCAACTTCTCAGGGAGCACATCCGATTTGCCGTCCTCTTGTTCCTCGTTCACAGCCTCCAGGTTCCGTTGTTCAGGGACCACTGCCGGCTGAAAAAAAGGTTCTTTTTTAAACGGAATAGAACTATGAAGGACCAACCGCTTCCTCGTTGATTCGGCTCAACTTCCGTTCCCGCGTCACCACTTCCAAATGATTCTGAATGTCTTTATCACGGTCCGACTTGTTCAGGTTCTTCAGCAACTGATTGCGCTCCTCCATTTTCATCGTGCGCTCATAGGTATAGTCCGAGATGTCAGAGTCGGTCTGGAACGAAAAAAGGTGAACTTTGAGGGACCATAACTGCTTTTCGGGACCTTCAATTGTTCTCAAAGTTTTTGGGCATAATCTAGGGACCTAGTACTTGGTTTTGTCAGTTGACATCTTCTTGGTATCACTGAGACTAAGCCTACTGTAGCTTCTGGAAGTTATGGTAGCTTCTAGAAGCGTATTGCAACTTCCAAGAGCTATTGTAGGCATAGAAAAGGTGTCTAGTTTGCGTACAAAACATTTGTACAATTCCAAACGTTGCTGTTTCAAAATCTTGATAAGTGTCAATTTCAATCAATTTTTCACTTTTTTTTTTGAGACGAACCATTTCGATAACATTGACAGCCGCGTCGATTCTCAAATGGTACAGAAATTTCTCGAGATCCGTCTTCATTTGCACATTGTTGTCCTCGAGTTGCGCGATTGCGAACAGACGAACCGTCGTGTTCTTCCACGTTTTGTGCTGACGGAGCAGGAACGGAAGGAGCATCAGAAGGCCGCCGTCGTGAACGACCCACCTGCATAGGATAGGGATCATCATAGTTTGCACCGTTTCAAAATGCTCTCCGAAACTCACCAAACATCAATGAATCCCGAGACTTTAGTGCCGTTCGCCGGGAACCTCTCCGCATATTTTGGCACCATAATAGCGCATTTCGCCGCCGAAATGGCTCGAATCGCCGACACAAACTTGTGCGCCACGTTCCACTGCTGCTCGCCGTCCATCTGGTCCCGTTCGACCGGCCACGAGAGGACCACCGTGTTGTGACGCATTCCGCCGAGTCCGGAGGTCTGGAAAAGGGCGGATTTGGTGGGCGTTGGGTGTGACAGTGTGCGGGGAAAGTGATAGTGATAGAGGGTGCGGTGAGCGAGCGGTGAACATGTTACGATAGCACTTTTTTCCTGTTTCTAGAAGGTTTTGAGTGAGGAATTTGGTAAGTTCCAAAGTTCTATGATGTTGGGCACTTTTGCGCAGAAATCTGTTTCAAAATGTCCTAGAAAGTCGGTTTTTGGGCCCTAGAAATGATGACAATGAATGAAAAGCATAGTTAGACGCACGGTCTCCAGAGCTGACAATGGGCGCAAGTGCGCCCCGCCGAATAGAGCGATACACTGGCGCGAAATTCAAATTTTAACAGCTAAATTTGTGTTTTTTGCCAGATTAGCCACGAAAAATCGATAATTTCTCATTTTTCTCTCGATTTATCGATTGTATAGGCTAGTACAAATTTTTTAAGCGCAAGAGCGTTAAATTTGGTCAAGTTTGAAGGTTTTTCGCTAAAACTGCGTGAATTTCAGTTGCTTTTTCGGTAATTTTTCGCGGTTCGAGCGCTCAAAAATGCTTGTATTTACGTGATTTATCATTCTCAAAATCAATTCTGTCTGAAAACGGTCAAGAAAGCGCAAAATGAGAAGTGCGGGTTTTAGGGAAAAAAATTCGAAAAAAAGCGAAATCCGCGAAAAAAATGCGCCAAAACGTCCATAATTCTGCGAGAATTAGTGTGTTTTCATGTCGAACAATCATTTTTCATCGCTTTTGACCACAAAAATCAGAGAAAACGCCATTTGGCCGCCGAGGCCACGCCCATATTGTCAGCTCTGGAGACCGTGAGACGGCTAACATAAAACCTCATAAAAACCGGAAAAGAGAGCGGACAGAGAAGCGTGGAAAGCAGCAAACATACGAGATCGCAAACCTGAACAAGACACGAGATGCCCTCGATGAGATTGTTGGTGACGAGCACGTCGCAGAAGCCCTTGATCTTGTTCTTCTTCACCACCGCCTTCAGCTTCTCCTGCACCGCCTGCGCGTCGACGTACTTCTCCGCGTACTCGCCCTCCATACAATTCGCCACCAGCGTCAGACCTTTGCCCGCCTTCAGCTGACTCACAAACGACAGCATTCCGTTGGTGGTGGCCGAATCGCAGTCGGGCGCGAGCACGAGCAGTTGCGGACGCCAATTTCTCGAGTGTTGCGGCTTATCGTCCAGGTTGAGCAGGGCGAAACGGGCGGCCGAGAGACCGAGGCCACGGATTCCGTCGCCCCATTCCTTCTCGGCACCCGCGTACTCGATGTACTTGTAGACGCCGGCGCCGATGAAGATGGCGATGAGGGCAAAGTGCCACGCGGAGATGAACATGACGGCGACGCAGAGGATCGCGCCGATCATCGACAGGATCCAGTGGAAGTAACGGAAGCCCGGACGCCAACCCGGCGACTTTAAAAGGGATTGGAGGGCGCACGCCGCATTCACGCCCAGGTAGCACATGAGGAAGAATCTGGAAGAAAAAAAGGAGCTTGTATTACACTATCAATGATTTGAAAAGTTGAAGAAAAAAGAGAACCCAGTGAAACAGTGTTCAAAGAAATATGTCTTTTTTTGAAAATTTGTGTGTTAATTTCTTGAGGATATTTGAAAATATTCAAATTTCTTGCGCAAATTTTCATAAAAAATACCGTAGTTTTAGCGGGTACGGTTATTCACGAAATTTTTCGAAATTTTCCGTTTTTCACGCAAATTTCGGCCGACTTTGGACAGAAAAACCTGCGGTTTTTACGGTTTGTCCGAGACTTTCGACGCGGCATCAGATTTGCTCAAAATGCTCGTGTTAAAGTTGTGTCGACCAGCGCCACGGCCGGCGAGCAAAAAAAAGTGTAGAAAGGGGGGCGTGGCCTAATCTGAGACGCGTTTTTCTGAAAAATTGCCGCAATTCCAGCACTTTTCCGTTTTTTTGTGTTTGATATCGACGAAAGAAGAGCACATTAAAAGAGAAAACATTGAAATTTTTCGTGAAAATGCCGCGTTTGAGACGTTTTTTTGACATATTTCGCAATACGCGCTCCGCGGCCAATCGCCGCCGCAATTTCGGAATTTTTCATACCGTCCGATGTGGATAGTTTTGAGACGAAGTGAGTGTCGGAAGTGATTAAGCACGTTAATACAAGTATTTTTAAGCGTTCAAACGGGCAAAAAAAGTATCGGCGAATGACTGAAATTCGCGCATTTTTCAGCACAAAAACTTGAAAAATCGATTCAATCGATTCATTTCTGAATGAAACCTGCTCGTTTTAAGCTCAAAAAAAGTGCGCGCGATGATTAGTTTAATAAAGTTATGCAATTTCATCGTCGAAACCCGTACAAAATTTGGGTAATTTTTTTGACGAAAAAAACATGAAAAAAATGGGGGTTAAATTTCGATTTTTAAATTTCGATTTTTTTCGCGCCAAAATTGTGATAAACCGTGCACACTAGGCCCCACGCCCCTTTCTACATTTTTTTGGTTGTGTTCTCGTAGAGCCATATCGCAAAAACAACTCACTGTGTAATGAGCGCGGTGATGTTCTCGATGACGGCAATGAGAATGCCGCACTCGCAGATGGCCAACGTGAGGAGAATGGCTCTGATGGGCTCGCCGCGCGAGTCCATCTTCCGGAACGGCTTCAAAAAAACGGCAGCACGTCGTCGGCGGCGATGGCCTGGAGAAGGCGTGGTGCGCCGGTGAGCGACTGCATTCCGGCGCCGGCGGTCGACATGAAACAGCCGAAGAGGATGACTTGGGGGAACGGCCACGAGATCTCCGAGATGATGAGCTTGCCCATCGCGGAACGACCGTACTTGTCGCGAATGAACATTTCCGAGACGGAGGCGCCGAAGAGAAGCACTCCGAGGAGGTCTGAACGAGTTCAATTTTTACTGGCGATATATAGTCCGTCAAAACTTACAAATGAAAGAGGAAAAGTTTTGCGCGGCCAGTGTGCCCATCGGGATGCTTTTTGCCGCATCCCTCAGGTTACCCGAACGATTCGATCCGGCCATGATGCCAGTCGCCGACGGGAAGAACACTCCGACGAGGATCATGAAGTTGGTCACCGATTCTGCGTAGATGTACGACGGATGACCGCCCCGGTTCACGTCGCCCTTGTCCTTCCGATCCTTTGAGAGCACCTCGCCCGCTCGCAGGTACTTTGGCCAGAGATTGTCGAAGAAGACGCCCGAGGCGATGCCCTTGATCGCTCGTTCCTGACGGATCGCCGGCATTCCCGACGCCTTCCACACTTTGATGTCTTTCATCTGAAAACTATGAAATGAGGCCTCCGCCTGATCGACATGAAACCGCTCACCCTGTCGTAGTAATGATCGCAAGTTCCGTTGGCACTGCAGAACAGCTCCTGAAGTCCGTCGGCCGTGCAATTGGGTAGGATTCGAGTGCGTTCGTAGTAGGAAGTCAGGTCGACGGGCCGATCGCCGACCATACAAAACTTTAACGTGTCGCTGCCGTCGTAGCGGACAAAAACGCCGAGCATGGCGGAAAGGATGCAGAAAAATGACGACGATGACCAGCGGAAGAGCGCATCGGTTCACAAACTTCACGCCGGCCATCACGATCAGGCCGAGAACGATCAAAAAGACCGGTGCCGAGCAGTCGGTAGTTGTTATAGATGTCGTCGAAGATCTTGGCCTGCGGATAGATGTACAGGAGGAGGATCTCGATGGCGCCGGTGATGTACATCGACGCGGCGATCGTGGTGCCCAGGTAGAAGAGGATGCCGACGGCGCCGCCGAGTTCGGGCCCCAGGTTCCGGGAGATCATGTAGTAGGGACCGCCCGACGGAACCACTCCGTTCGTGGCAATTGCGGAGAGCGAGATCGAGGTGAGGAACGTCTGGAAAACCGGGGAAAAACTCGGCTTGCTTCCTTCGTTTCGGGGGCAATGCCATTCGATTTCTCTCGCATCTTTTTAAGCATTTTTCATGTTGGCACCAAAAATTTAGCACCTCTCCTTCATGGAGGAAAATATTGTTTTGTGACATTTTTCAGACAATTTTTCAGTTTTCTGCTCGTTCTGAAAAATTTTAGCACTACATACCCATGATTTTATTGCTGATTCTCAATCTAGACATTATTGTGCTTGGGCAAAAAAAAAGTTCACCCCGATCTCGTTTTTTGCCCGAAATTCACAAAATTCGTAGTACTTTTGCATGGAAAAATGTTCGCGAACTTGAGAAAAGTGCGTTTTCTCAATTTTCAAAGGGGTTTGCTTGCGATTTTTGTTGTTTTCGTGTGTTTTTAGGCATTCTCGATTTTTTTGAAGCATTTAATTAATTTTAAAATTAATTTTTTCTCGAAAATTTTGTCATGACTTGGTCTAATTTTTTTAAATTTTCGAAATGCTTCCAAAAAATCGAGAATGCCTAAAAACATACAAAAACAACAAAAATCGCAATGAGACCCCTTTGAAAATTGAGAAAACGCACTTTTCTCAAGTTCGCGAACATTTTTTTCCATGCAAAAAGTACTACGAATTTTGTGAATTTCGGCAAAAAAACGAGATCGGGGTGAACTTTTTTTTTGCCGAAGCACAATAATGTATAGATTCAGAATCAGCAACAAAATTATGGCTATGTAGTGTTAAAATTTTTCAGGACGAGCAGAAAACTGAAAAATTGTCTGAAAAATGTCACAAAACAATATTTTTCTCCATGAAGGAGAGGTGCTAAATTTTTGGTGCCAACATGAAAAATGCTTAAAAAGATGCGAGAAATCGAATGGCGTTCAGTCTGAGACGCTAGCATTTTTTTGAAATTAGTTACAGTTTTGACCTATTTTGGGCTCGTGATCGGACTAGGGACCACGGAGCCGGACCAAAACTTGTCTGATGTATCACTGTTATGTATGTAAGTACCCATTGGGTATAATATGGGACAATTTGAAGCATTCGGAATTTTTAGTGACCTGGTGTAATTAGCGAATTTCGAGGTTCTCAGACATTGCCTTTTAAAGAGCATAGCCCATTGAAGTTGATCACAGTTTCAGTGCGCTTACCACAGAAACACACGTGAGCACGACGAAGAACGCCTGAAATATTCCGGCGGTGCCGATGATCCAGGCGAGTCGGATGAAGAAGAGAACGCCGAAAATGTTCTGAAGACACGGCAGGAAGACGCCCATGATGGTGCCCATTTTGGCGGCCGCCTACAAATACCGAATACATTGATTCAATCAATTTTCATTGGGGCTTGAAAATTGGGAAGCGCTTTGGATTACTGTACCCCGCCAAAGTTCATGGTCTAAAGACCCATCAAACGGCAAAGTGCTCTTGATTGATGAGTGGATTAGGCGAGCGCGCAACACTTTTTGCAAACGTTTGCTCGGTATGGCAAGTGGAAAACGTTGAAAAATCGAAAAGTGTGAAACATTGACTTGTACTAGCCTCAACTTTTTTTTTTGAAGGTTATAGCCATTTTTCGACACTTTCAAGCGCTAGAAACCACAAGGATCCACTGTGATCCGCCAGGAACCGTCTCGAAACTCACCGCTTTTGGTTTTTCGTCCGCCTCGACACTCGTCGCCTCCGTCGCATTATAGACTGACAATTTGCGAAGCATTGTTCCGATTTTCTGGCCTTGTGTGTCATAGTCTTGCTGAAAATGAAAATTGAACGTGGGTGGTCCCACTTGGTGGTTCATGCGCCATTTTTTTTTTCAAATTTTTGGGTGTCTGCAAAGCTATCCGCCGTGAAATCGGACGCTTTACTCACTCTTCACCGCCCTTTTGCTCATTGACACTTTCAAGAGCACCGGAGAAGAAGAAGAAGAAGAAGAAGAAGAAGATGGAGCGAAAGAGAGAGAAGAAGAAAGGGCAGTGACGTCACAAACACGGAAAGGGACAAAGTTTCCAAGAAAATAAGGGATTAGGCGACAGGAATAGAAGATGAAATGAAATTTGTGTGTGTGCAGTGCAGAGGGCATCAAAAATTATCGCCAACTTTGAGGGACCGTATCTCGGGCACCAGTGATTTTATCAAAAAGTTGTCAACTGATATATTGTTCATCAAACCGAAATGTACATTTTTCTAGTTGGCCGCTTTTCGATATCTCTACCTGCAGCTGAGATACGGACAATATTACAACGGCATTCCTCCCCCCCGGGCTACTCGGAAAACAAAAACAAATATTGTAGGTAAGCGTGTGCGGCGCTATGCCCAAACGTATCAAATTTCCATGTAAAATGCGCGGTTCCGCTTGTTTTGGTCCAGACGGTCCATCCCTTGAGGGATCAATCCAGAGACGTGTTGACCTCCGGTCTAGCGGCACCACAGTTATTACACTCTTCTTCTATCTCTGTTTTCACTCATCACAAGCGATGTTTGTGTATCGACATCCATCGGGAAGAAAAAGAAGAAGAAGAAGAAGAAGAAGAAGAAGAAGGAAAACGCGGTTGACGTACCTCATAAAGTGCCAGAGGCGAATGCTGCTCGCACAGGGGTATCCGCTCGGCGCCTTCATCTGCAAAAATCGACGGATTGTGAGGGAAACTTGGAGAAATTGGGAGGGGTTTGATCTGGTCATTTAGACGTCTACAACCTCGCGGACCGATCAATTTGAACGGTCCCCTCAAGATGATTGACACAATATTTGATTTACTCAATTGTGAGCAATGTGAAAGTGCATGGTTTTCAGACTACACTTAAAAACCAGAGTTGAGCGGAAGAACTCAACGGAAAAACACGGAAGAATTTTTATATTTTTTAGAAAAATTTTTCATGAAATGTGATCAACTGACGAATTGTAAAAGCAAAGTGAACTCTGCTTATAGAAAAATAATTGTAAATTTAGCTTTTTCATACAAAAAAAGTTACGCGAGTTGTCTTCCGTTCGCCCCCTTTTCCACGGAACAACTCGAATAACTTTTTTTGTATGAAAAAGCTAAATTTACAATTATTTTTTTCTATGAGCACAGTTCACTTTGCTATACATTTCGTCAATTGATCACATTCCATGAAAAAAATTTCTAAAAAAGATAAAAATTCTTCCGTGTTCTTCCGTTAAGTTATTCCGCTCAACTCTGTTAAAAAAACGCCCTCATCCAACAGTTGAGGACCGCGTGAAACACAAATTTTGTACTTTTCGGTTTCAACACTTCCGGATCCTTGAAATTGTTTTTAATAGAGTCATGGAAAATAATGCAACCAGCTAGTGAAAATACCAACAAAAAAAACAAGTTACCATTTCACAAGTTTTCAGTCATCGGACACTTTGCAACCAGACTGAGGCCATTTCCCACCGGTTGCAAAGTGTCCATCTAATCTAATATTGTGCACCAGCTGAGAGGCATAAAAACTGGTTTTTTTGGTCAAAATTGACCTCTGAGCCTTTAGGGACCGGGAATTTTTTTGTATTTCACTGCGTTTGAACGGTTTTTGAGCTCCAGTTTTGTGGCAAAATCACAGCGCCTGGATACAAATTGTGCTTCCAACACTATCCAAGTACCTGCGGGTATATTAATATGCATATTGGGCGGTTTTCTGCTCGCCGGACCGCCCGAACCGCCAGACGAGGAGCGTCGTGACGTCACCACCGTTGGCTCCGTTGAGGTCGACGGAACAGGATCGGCGGCGCTTTTGACTGGAATACTAGTTGACCGGAGCATCGGCGCCGAAGTGGTAAGCGTCATTTTGAAGTGGAAGTGGAAGTGGATGGGGGGAAAAATGGAGGAAAAGGGGCGGGGCGAAGAGGAAGAAGAAGAAGAAGAAGTTTGTTTGAAGAGGTGAGAAGCTGGAGGACCTCTTCTTCTGGCGACGGGAAAAGAAGAAAAGGGGGGGGGGGAATGTGAGCAAACGAGGACCTCTTTTCCGTATGCGCGCTCTCGTGCGGTCCCGCTCTATCTCTCAAACTAGTATCTTCTTCTTCTTCTTCTCCACTACTCTTACTTTCGAGGTAATCATCTCTGGGTCTAGGCGACAACACAGATTTTCTCGTTTCGCCTCGTTTTTTCTCGGTTTTCAATTCGATTACAGTCTCCGCCGCCGCCCCCTTCCCCTCCTGTTGAAATTCGCTTTTCGTGGAGAAAGGGAGAAAGAAGAAGAAGAAGTAGAAGAAGAAGAAGAAGAAGAAGAAGAAGAAGAAGAAAAGGGTGTTCGGCTCATCACAAAGCGAGGAGGAGCAAAAGTTTTGAAGAGGACGAAGAAAAACGGATGTCTGGAGAGCTTTTCAAGCAAATGCTTGAACACAACTTGAGAACGGATTTGACATGGGAAACAGAAAAGCGACTGGGCAACTTTGAGGGACCACATCAACTTTGAGGGACCGCGTATCAGTCTCAAAAAGTTGTCAGCATAATCCAGGGGTCTAGTACTTGGCTTTTGTAGTTGACAACTTTTAAGCACCACTATTCGGAAGCCTGATATGGTCCCTGAAAGTTGGATCTTGTTGGCTCGTATTTTCGATCGAATTTTTGACGGCCAGGGCTTGAACAACTTGAGAACGGATTGGGAAACAGAAAAGCGACTGGGCAACTTTGGGGGACCACATCAACTTTGAGGGACCGCGTATCAGTCTCAAAAATTTTCAGCATAATCCAGGCGTCTAGTACTTGATTTTTCTAGTTGACAACTTTTAAGGACCACTATTCGGAAGCCTGATATGGTCCCTGAAAGTTGGAACTTGTTGGCTCGTATTTTCGATAGAATTTTTGACGGCCAGGGCTTGAACAACTTGAGAACGGATTGGGAAACAGAAAAGCGACTGGGCAACTTTGGGGGACCACATCAACTTTGAGGGACCGCGTATCAGTCTCAAAAATTTTCAGCATAATCCAGGGGTCTAGTACTTGATTTTTCTAGTTGACAACTTTTAAGGACCACTATTCGGAAGCCTCATATGGTCCCTGGAAGTTGGAACTTTTTTCTTCGACTGCCAGGTCGCAAATCTCCGCCCCCTGATCCGGAAAACGACACAAATGCCACGTCACATCGCATTCGCTCGTATATAGCCAATTTTCAATTTATGTTGATGCGAAAATGACGTTCCGAGTTGCTCTTTTCTTGAGTGCTCCGATTGGTAATTGGCCGAAAAGGGGAAATGTGGAATGGAACGATTAGTGCTGCTTTTCCGAGACGAAAAATCGAAAAATTGGGGCGGGGGGGGCCAAAAGGCGTATGAGAAATTGAACAGAATAAGAAGAGCGATGGATGGCGGCGACGGCGACGGGACGAATCAATTATTCAGGAGAGAAAAGAAGACGAGGAGACATTTGCTCTTTCACTCGAATTTTGTGTTAAAAACGAAAGAGAGAGAGCGAAAAAGCTAATTGAAAATGAGATATTGACTAGTTTTCCAGCTGTCACACTACTTTTCAAGCGAAACTGAGGGCAGCTGAACTTTCGGCACCAGAATTGAGCATTTTGGAGAAATTACACTTATTCCACGACTATTTCCGTTCCATTTCCTTGTGAAAAGTTTTAAAAAGATCTCGAGGCACGTAATATTTCTAATATTTGCCAATATTTGGCTAGGAATAATAGAAAAGTGGCTAATAATGGTGCGTGTTGGTTGGAAAGTGAGGCCACTCTTCGTTTCCCTTGTGCAAATGTTAATTGGATACACTACTACTACTACTACTACTTGTGATGGTGTTTTGGCTGAATTGGTTGTTGCAAATGAGCAAGATGGCGATGAAGATTCAGAGAATCGAGCAAAATACACAAAAAATGGACGAGTGTGGGACAAACTATCGTAACTCTAGAATGACGGGTTTTGGAATGAAATTCTCAATTACAATGTTGTAGAGCTTGAAATTTGAAACAACTTTTCAGTTGACTACTTTTTGATACAATTACTCGTCTCCGAGATATGGTCCGTCAAACTTACAAATGAAAGAGGAACGGCGATGCAAAAAAGGCTGGCTGCGCTCGCATATCTACTCGCCCGGCCTCTGCCCTCTCGCGGTGCGCCGGTGGCTGAGTGGTAAACCGCGCGGTCGCCGCTTCTGTTTTGTCTGCCGTAATTGAGCATTTTGTCTCAAAACGACGTTTCGAATCCAATCACAGCGCTGTGAATGCCTGAAAACCCCCAGAGTGCGCCAAATTGCTTGCGCACGTCCCGCAAAATATACGTGCGTGTTTACCTGCTCGAGCGACGAGAGCACCAATTTCTATTTTCTACTCGAAAACATGTGATTTCGGCTGGTTGCTAGGCAGAAAAGCGCTCGAGAAACGAGAGATTTGAAATTCCGACCGAATCTGCTGGTCGTTGAAAGATTGAAGACTTTTAGGAGACACACGTACGACAAAATCCTTGGTCCCCAGTTGAAAAGTCTCGAAATGTCTCGCGCGAAAAAGGTTGGAAGAGAGGCAATTACACGCGTTTTCCGTTGTTCAGTTCCGTTTTCCGCTAATCGTTCTGCTGGCCCCCATACATTCGTTTTCTGATCTGGTTTCCACTCTCGGAGAGAAAAGATAACTGTGTGAAGAGTTGTCGTGATGTACATTACTTGTGACTACTTGTGAGCGAACAAAGTGATTGGAAGGCGAGACGAAGAGACGGAGAGGGCGGAAAAAGTGAGTATTGGATCAAGTTACGACTAGACCTCTCGGCGACTATTGTACACTTGCAAAAATCAGCACAAGCTAGTGTTGGGACCGGAAAAAAGAGGCACAGATTAGCAATTTCTTACTTTCGAACATGCGGTTATGTCGTTTAGGAAACAGAAATCGATAGAACATGCGTTTCTGAGTTGAACGATCCGGAAAAGACGTGTATAGCTGGACGAATGAAAATTCAGACCGACAATATAGTTTCGAAACCGTAGAAGCACGTGGAAAAGCGAAACGTGAAAGTGAAAGTGAAAAGTGAGAGTGAAAAAGTAGTTGGGACAATTGTGAAACTGAGAATATTTGGGCATATGGAATAGTTTATGAAAAAGCGACGAAAACTTGATTAATTTTATTTATTTATTTATTTTATTTATTTATTTTTATTTATTTTTATTATTTATTGTATTTATTTTTTTATTTTTTTAATTGAAGCAGTGTTGTTGGTTTTCAGTGACTAAATTATATAAATGAAACATGAGACAAGTGGAGATGGTGAAACAGTAAAGAAGATCAGAGAATTCGACTGAGAAACACGGATAATGTCTGTTGGCTCCAAAACCGAACATTCTAGCGCAAAATGGTCAATTAGAAAGTTGTAGAGCACACAATTTGCAACAACTTTCCCGTTGACAACACGTTGATACACTCATCGGACCGCGAGATATTGTCCTTCTCCGCTCGCTTCTAATCTCCCCCTTTTCGATTCGATTCTGTGAAAACACACACACACACACACTTTGTCGCTCCTTTTCTTTCGTTTTCCCCTTTATTTCCTCTAATCCCCCTCCATTTCCGCTCCAACTTTTTGTGTGGACGAGTCGAGGAAATGAAAATGGAAAAAGAATCCATTCCTCTCTTTCCCTCCTTTTTTTTTGGGTAAAAGAGATGAGATTGCTAGAGAGAGAGTAAATTCAATTTTGTTTTTCTCTCCGCCACATTTCGTTGCCGTTTTCCTGGAAAACGCGGGTTCAACAAAAGTTCTAGAGCCGTAAACTACAGTAACAGCATTCAACGTTAGCTAATAATTTCAAGTTCAAAACCATTTCGGTACTACATCATCCTAAACAAGGTAGAGTTTCAAAAACTTGTCATTATACATGTCTGCAGGATTTTAGACAATAAATTGTTTCTAAGTTGAATTCACAGGTCACTTTCACCAATTTTCTCTCACTTGTCCTAAAAACTGTCACGGTTTCAGAAAGGTATCATAGCATGAGCACAGTTTGACAAAACGTGTACAGTTTCGAAAAAGCCATTTTCCATTCCATTTGCCTCAATTTCGCGGTTCTTGCAAGTCAATAATAATGGCCATACGCTTCTCTTATCACTTTTCCCAAACTTTTTGTAAGTTTATCAAGCTAGACTCTTGGATGAGTGCTGCTGTTTTTGCATCAAAATCGTCAAACCGTGAAAGAACGTGCAAAGATTTACCGACTGACGCACTTTTGCGTCGTTCCCCAAAGTAAAGAATAGTGATGGCCATATAATAATCAAATCACCTTTCCCTCTATGCCAGTTGGCCGACGAGACCGACAATAGCGGCAGAGAGAGACGGGGAGGGCGTAGGCGGTTAGAGAATTGGAGGGTGAAGTGCACACTGATATGTGCGTGTATTTGTGAGTGTATGTACTCTTCGACGCGAAACTTTTAAACTGAAAGTCCAGGACCAGTTTGACACAAAAAACGCGATTTTCAGCTCACTAGAACAGCAACACAAAAACTCACGCTCTTTCCTGGGGCCAATTGAGGCGGTGCTGAGCGCTGCGAGATTCTGCTCCGAGTTGGGCTCGGTTCCGCCGCCACCGTCGAGCACCGATTGGACGCGAAACCGTCCGCCAGCCGACATTTCCGGACACAGGAAAGCGAGGAAAGGGGTCTCCGGTCTCCGGTCGGATGAAAGTGAAATGGAGAAGGAGAGAGAGAGGAGGCGAGCCGCCCCGTCCGAGCACCACCACACTCAAACAGAGGCGCCAGAGAAGCGCGCGCGACGACGAGAGAGCGCGTGGGAGACACGAAGAAGGACGGGAGGGACCGCCCATTCGGAGAAGGAGAAGGAGAAGAAGCGTTCGTTCGCCTTCAGCTGTGCGTCCCCTTTTCTGGGCCCAGGGTCCTGGAGGATCCCAATTCCAATTCCAATTCCAATTCAAGAAGAGTGTTGGAAAAGTAAAAAGGGAGCGGAGAAGCGTTTGTTTACTCGGAAGAACGCCTAATTGACTCCACGACAGCTTCTCTCTGCAAACCGATTGGAACAAAAGAACGAGACGTCTGGAGGTGACACCACGTGGCGAAAAAGTGGTCTAGAAGGCTGAACAAGAATTATATAGACTTGCATCTCTCAACGTTCATTGGAACATGAAATTGGACCTTTGGGACCGCAAGTACGCACGTTCTTTGTGAAAAAGTGCCTTTTTTGGTGGTTATCATGCTATATGGGTACAAAAGTACCCAAAAAGTGTCTAGATAAGGTTTCGTGTTCAATTTTTTTGATGTGGATCATGGTATTTGAGTGTGAAAGTACTCAACACTGGCGTCTCCGCCATTCTATCCAAGCGTTTATCGATAAACATTCAGAAAGTAACGAAGAAGTGATAAGAAAAAGTGTTTTTGTGGTCTATTGACTTTTTGAGAACCGGGACAATTGACTGAAATGAGTGGCGTCGAACCGGATAATAGTCAAACTTTTTCTTTGAACTTTTTCGAAACTTTTTGTGTAGAAAAAAATGCATAGCAATGATTAATTTGAAAGGGTTGCCTTGTCATTATGAGACCTTTTTGAAACTGTAACAATTTTGGGGCCGCATATTTTAAAGAATCCATAAATTAATCGATAGAACCTCGTTTTGCGACAACGTTTTCGTCTCAAAAACTCAAAAATCAAAGCTATCCTCATCATCTTTCTTCGCCGAATTTCGAAACGAGTTCATCATTGGTCGTCCTTCTCCTTCTCCTGTTTTTCTGCACTTTTCCCGTCGTTCTCTTCTTTCTCGCCCCTCAAAAGGGACCGAGAATTGATGAGACGCGTTGCGAGCACTTTTTGCACGCAAAAATGAGCAAACGGGGAGAAATTCATCACAAATTTCCGCATTTTTTCCAGTCTTTTGAGGTTTTCGGAGGGAAACGACAATAGTTGGAGCGCGGGGGCCTTTGACCACAGTTTTACGTGAACCCGGAAGACCACCCACCATTTTTTCTCATTATTTTCCATCGGAATTTGTCTGTTTCACCAACTCGACAAATCATTTCACGTTTCAATTGAAGTTTGATCATCACACTACATACGTGGACGGCGAAACAGTTTGGCAAAAAAAAAAAAAAAGAGACACTAGTACAGGACGGGGCTTACAAGGGAACCTTTTAAAAGGCAATGTCTGAGAACCTCGAAATTCGCTAATTACACCAGGTCACTAAAAATTCAGAATGCTTCGATTTGTCCCATATTATACCCAATGGGTACTTACATAACAGTCATACATCAGACAAGTTTTTGGTCCGGCTCCGTGGTCCCTAGTCCGATCACGATCCCAAAAGAGGTAAAAACTGTAACTAATTTCAAAAATTCTAGCGTCTCAGACTTAACACCATTCGATATCTCGCATCTTTTTTTAAGCATTTTTTTCATGTTGGCACCAAAAATTTAGCACCTCTCCTTCATGGAGAAAAAAATATTGTTTTATGACATTTTTTTCAGAACATTTTTTTCAGTTTTCTGCTCGTTCTGAAAAAAATTTTAACACTACATAGCCATGATTTTATTGCTGATTCTCAATCTAGACGTTATTGTGCTTCGGCAAAAAGTTCACCCCGATCCTGATTGACATCAAAGGGGTTTTTTTAGGCCGAAGTTCACAAAATTCGTAGTACTTTTTGCATGGAAAAATGTTCGCGAACTTGAGAAAAGTGCGTTTTTCTCAATTTTTCTAAGGGGTCTGATTGCGATTTTTTTGTTGTTTTTCGTATACTTTTTAGGCATTCTCGATTTTTTTGGAAGCATTTTGAAAATTAATAAAAAAATTAGACCAAGTCGTCGACCCGGGGGTCATGACAAAATTTTTCGAGAAAAAAATTAATTTTTCGAAATGCTTCAAAAAAATCAAGAATGCCTAAAAGTATACGAAAAACAACAAATATCGCGATCAGGCCCCTTTGAAAAATTGAGAAAAACGCACTTTTCTCAAGTTCGCGAACATTTTTTTCCATGCAAAAGTACTCTAAATTTTGTGAATTTCGGCCAAAAAAACCCCCTTTGATGTCAATCGGGATCGGGGTGAACTTTTTTTGCAGAAGCACAATAATGTCTAGATTCAGAATCAGCAACAAAAATCATGGCTATGTAGTGTTAAAATTTTTCAGGACGAGCAGAAAACTGAAACATTTTCTGAAAAATGTCACAAACCAATTTTTTTCTTCATAAAGGAGAGGTGCCAAATTTTTGGTGCCAACATGAAATATACTCAAAAAGATGCGAAGAATCCAATGGCGTTGAGTCTGAGACGCTAGCATTTTTTTGAAATTAGTTACAGGTTTGACCTATTTTGTGACCGTGATCGGACTAGGGACTACGGAGCCGGACCAAAACTTGTCTGATGTATCACTGTTATGTAAGTACTCATTTGGTATAATATAGGACAAATTGAAGCATTCTGAATTTTTAGTGACCTGCAGTATTTGAACTTCTCAGACATTGCCTCTTAAGTGATTAAAGGAACCGGCCTAAACTAACGACACAGTTCGAGAGGGACTTTCAAAACCTATATTCCAGTTTTCAAAAGCTGCTGAGACCTCTGAAATGCTGAAATTCAGTCCGAAGTTTGACATTTCTTAACCATAGATTTCGCATTTTGGTGGCGCGGCGACCCATCTCACACCCTCGCCATGCGCCACGATTGTCACCGCCCGCAACACCCTGCGAAAATGTGGTCGAGTGGCGCAGGAGTTAACGGTGGGGTTGAGGGGGGTGTGGTCACGGGTTCGACTCCCTTGTTATGCTTTTTCTTTTTTCTTTCTTTTTTTCATGTATTTTTGACGAAATTGTTTTGAAATGTTGATTTTTGAAGAGATTAAAGTGGCCAACTGAAGTTCCTCATCGTGTATGCGGAAATTCTTCATCAACACATGAATCTTTTTCGCGATGTTTTTTTTCAGAACAGCATTTGAGTGCAGTTGATTCTTTGATCCATAACTCGAAGGGGAATTTTTGTAGAGAATAATGCTCAACTACAAAGTTGATCAGCATGACATTTGCTACAACTTTCCAGTTGACCACTTCTTTCTACAATTTTTTGTTCTTGAGATACAGACTGTTAAAGATGGTAGTGCAAAATTGTAGAAAGAAGTGGTCAACTGGAAAGTTGTAGCAAATGTCATGCTGATCAACTTTGTAGTTGATCATTATTCTCTACAAAAAAATTCCCCTTCGAGTTATGGATCAAAGGATCAACTGCACTCAAACGCTGTTCTGAAAAAAAACATCGCGAAAAAGATTAATGTGTTGATGAAGAATTTCCGCATACACGATGAGGAACTTCAGTTGGCCACTTTAATCTCTTCAAAAATCAACATTTCAAAACAATTTCGTCAAAAATACATGAAAAAAGAAAGAAAAAAGAAAAAGCATAACAAGGGAGTCGAACCCGTGACCACACTCCCCTCATCCCCACCGTTAACTCCTGCGCCACTCGACGACATTTTCGCAGGGTGTTGCGGGCGGTGACAATCGTGGCGCATGGCGAGGGTGTGAGAGTGGGTCGCCGCGCCACCAAAAATGCGAAATCTATGGTTAAGAAATGTCAAACTTCGGACTGGAATTTCAGCATTTCAGAGGTCTCGAAAGCAGCTTTTGAAAACTGGAATATAGGTTTTGAAAGTCCCTCTCTCGAACTGTTTCGTTAGTTTAGGCCGGTTCCTTTAATCACTTAAAAGGTTCCCTTGTTAGTTTTTCGGATTTTCTAGTGAAAACGACTAGATGAAGCATATTTCTATAGGGAAATGTTGGAAAAACACAAAATCTGTTTCAAGTAGTTGTAAAATAAGTGATTTTTTGTCAATTGATTATTGATACATCTGTCTCGTACCACCCGAGATGCATTGCTTTGAAAAAATGATAGGGTAGTAAGGACCAATAACCCTGTTCAACTATTTCACAAGGCTTTGAAACAGTGTCATTTTTTACTGGTTTCAGTGGAACATAAGTTACATAACAGAGATGTTGGGAATAAAAATTTTACTCTACGGAACACGGAACACGGAAAACGGAAAATTTTTTTTTTACGGAACACGGAACACGGAAAACGGAAAAAACGTATTTCTACGGAACACGGAAATTTTTTTTTTTTACGGAACACGGAACACGGAAAAAATATTGAAAAAAACGCGGAACACGGAACACGGAATTCCCAACATCTCTGTTACATAACACACAAAAAACAGATGAATATAATCATTAAATATGGTCTAGAAACGGTACTTTTCATAAACTTTTCACAAGTGTGTAATGAACTTTTGGGTCGGTACTTTTCATAAAAACATTAAAAACTTAATGGAACACAAGTGTGTAATGAACTTTTGGCAATTTTGAAACCGGAAAAAAAGGTTTTTGAAAAAAACCGATGGTATTGAGCACGAAGTTGACGTCAAAAAAACTTCAATTACTAGGTGAAACAGCATTTTTAAAAATACATCAACACACTTGTGATCAACTTGAAACTGACAAAATTTCGCTGATACAATACGTATCCTACTTTTTCTTCATAGTTTCAAGGATTTTGGCTCCTGGACACTTTGAAACCAGAAAAACTGGTACATGGAACAGAATTTCAATCAATTTTCATGATTTTGGACGCTTTGAAA